CTTGAATCTCCATAGACTTCCTGACAGGATCCCACTTGGGGTCATTTCCAGACTCAAGCCTGCCCAAGGGAAAGAGCTGGAGAACACCAGGATTGCACAGTGTGCAAAGCAGCCGAGAGGGAAGGGCTTTCTCACAATCTTGCAGGAAGGATGGAAACCTTGGTTATCTTACTAGATGAGGGGTTGGTTAAACTGTTTTTGTAGGTTTTACAGATACCATTTATTAGATTAAGGAAATTTCTTTCTGTTTTGGTCTGATAACAGGTTATCTTTGTTATCATGAGTGGATGTTGATTTTTGCCAAATGCCTTTCTGTGTAGTGAGATAATGATTTTTCTCTTAGATCTGTTTGTGTGGCAAAATGTCGATCTTTCTAAGTTTAAATGAGATCTGCACTATTGGTGTAAACTTAAATTGCTTATGACCTTTTTATGTATTGTTGGACTAGTTTTGAGAGTTGATATTGTTTAGGGTTTTGTGTCTATGAATCATGCATAAGGTTGACCTGCACGTTTCCTTTCTTATCCTGTTATTTGTGTCAAGGTTATGCCAGCCTTATAAAACGAGATGGTAGTGTTCCTTCTTTTTCTCTTTTCTGGAAGCATTTGTAGATTCAAAGTTTTCCTTCCTTGAATTTTGGTAGAAATGAACAGTGAAGCCGTCTAGGTCAGTTGCCTATGTGGAAAATATTTGATGGCTGATGCAATTTCTTTGATAGCTCCAGTATTACCTAAGGTGGCAATTGCTTCTCGAGAAGGTGTTAGGCAGTGATATTTCTATTTTGTCTAAAATTTAAATTTGTTCCCATAAAGTTTTTAATAACATTCTTGGCTTATCTTTTAATGGTCTGCAGCTTTGCAAAAATATTCCCTTTTTAGTTCCCGATCTCAAATATTTGCACTTCCTCTCTTTCTTTCATGATTAGTTTCTCCAGAGGCTTGTCAATTTCATCAGCCTTTCCGAATAATTAGTATTTGCTTTATTAAACCTCTCTGTTGTATCTTTGCCTACTATTTCGCTAACTTCTGATACTTATTATTTCTTCCTCCCACTTCATTGAATTTATTCACGTATTAATTCCTAACTTCTGGGGTTATATGATCACCCCAACAATTTCAGTTTTTTGTAATATGTGAGGATTAAGCCTATAAATTTTTCTCTATCTGCGTTAGCTGTGTTCCACAATTTTTAATAAGTACTGGTATTGTTATTATTCAACAGAAAACGTTCTATTTCTTTTTAAATTTTATTTTATCGTGGGTTATTTAAAAGTGTATTTCTTTTTTCCTTCAGATATTTCTTCCACTTAAGAATCCTCTTTTCTGGTGTCCTCAATGTGCAAGCAAATCCACCCACTTCGTTTTTAATGTTCTTATTTTGTCAGGACTAATTACCCTGAGGAGTTCAGGGGGTAGGGGGGGCGGTTTGAAAGCATTTGACTGTTTTTCCAAATCATTTCTCTTCCCTTTTGTTATGTTAAGGAGATGCAACCAACCACCCTTAACCAGACCAAGCCTCACTAGGAGAGCTATGTCTATGACCTTGGCCTTATTTTAAGTGCTAAGGTCTCTCCAGGAGGAGCTTAGGCCTTATGAACCTGCAGTATGTGGAAGCATGTTTCCCATCTTAGCCCGCTCAAGTGAACGCCCTCCTCTCCCTTTTTTTTTGGAGGAATATTAGCCCTGAGCTAACATCTGCCACCAATCCTCCTCTTTTTGCTGAGGAAGAGTGGCCCTGTGCTAACATCCGTGCCCATCTTCCTCTACTTTATATGTGGGACACCTGCCACAGCATGGCTTGACAAATGGCATGTATGTCTACACCCAGGATCCGAACCGGTTAAACCCGGGCCGCCAAAGCAGAACATGTAAACTTAACTGCTGCGCCACCAGGCCCACCCCATCCACCTCTCCCTTTTGAAACTCCTGTTCTCCAACTAAAATAAAAGTCCCTCCTGCCCTTTGTTCGGGAACCCCATGATTCCAGAAATGATTCCTCATGGTCTCCCATTTGATGCAAATACACCTTACTGTGTGAGTCAGCTCCTTCTGGTGGAGAGTCTGATTTCACCGGCCAGGAGGAAACCCCTTTGGTTTCAGTAAGAATTTCTTTTTTTATATTTGGAAATTCTATCTAGTCCTTTATCCAATCAGTAATGACACTTCATATTTTCCTGTTCCCTGCAGTCATTTTTAACTTTGTATTATAATATGTGCAAGATATTCCAAATCTCAAGCACATAGTTGCTGATCTGTCTGTACTAAGAGTTATTTCTGCTGGCTCTCGTTCACGGGGTAACGTTTCCATGTGTTCTTTAGCATTTTGATTATGTGCAGCTTGGTACTTTTTTAAAAGGTTTTGCATGTGTGGTGGGTAGGGACCGAGGGTGGCAGGCTTCCCAAGGCCTGGAATAAAGGTATCTTCTTCAGAGAGGATTTGCAATGGCTTCTGCCTGGCCCCTGGAGGCATCTCCCTTCTAAACCACCTGGAAATCAAGACCACTGCTGGAGACCCAATGAGAACCTGGGCTGCAAATCTTCAGGAAGGCTGTCCATGGTCACAGCTTCTCAGAATCTGATTGTTTTTCCCTTTTCTCCATTTTCCTGCATTGTTCAGTGCCAAGGCTATCTTCTCTGTCAAGGGTAGATTTACTTCTGCTCACTGTTATGCTAAAGGCAGGCTTGTCGGGGACCAGATTAACATGAGGACAGTTTGTTACTTGACTCTCCATATTGGTTGGACCCTGGGCCTTCAGTTTTATCCCTCTTCCCCCAAGAAATCACCAGAACTGAAGGCCCAATTGTTTACATGGCAAATAGCTTCAGGGCAAAACCAGCTTGAGTTGTCTTGACTTCTGATTACCTTTCCGGGTTTCAGAATTAAATCCAAAATTTAACCTGACAGTCCCTTGGTGTCTTGTCAGTTTGTCAATGCTTTAAAAAATTTTATTCCCCCTGTTTTTTCCCTTAAATCTGTTTCATTCATAGGGTTGGTCCAAATAACCTGGCCTGCTATCACTAAAGATGGAAGTCAGGGTGTTACTTTTGTATTTATTCAACCAACCTTGATTCAGTTTATTTTGTGAAGGACACAATTAGAACTATTTTACCTTGTCACTGCCCTATCATTTTGGGAGTTATTCTTTACCTCACAAAATCACCGAAAGTAGTTCAATAACTACATTTTAGTGGACTGCTGCCACTAAAGAAAAGATAGTTTAACCTCAGTGAGCAATCTTCTTATTCATCCCAGGTTGGTTCTCTTCAGAGGAGGATTCTACAAAAAGCTAATCCAATCTGCTGTGCAAAGTCTTTCCTGACTTTGGGATCCTATCCTCTTCCTGAATTTCAAAAATTCCCTCTTCTGGATTAGGGGCAATCTTGTACCACTTAGAAAAATCTATGAGTATGCGAGGGCTCCATTCTCTAATGTATATCCAACAAGACAAAGGACTGTCAGGAACTGGGAGCAGATGTCTGCCCCCACCTGGAGATCAGATGGCGGCCCCACCCAGAGACCAGCTGCCTTCCCCACCTGGAGACCAACCCCCTATATAACCAGCTTGTAGTCTTTGTTGTGTAAGATGATTCTTTTGGATGTTAGTCCTCCATCTTCCCTCTTGCTAGCAAGCTGTAATAGAGGAATCCTTTCTCTCCCACCACTTTGCCTCCTGACTATGGGCGTGTCTTGCAGTGAGCAGAGGACCCTCCCTTGGCTGGTAACAATATGACACAATAACTCTGCTACTGGGACTCTATCTTGTAAACAGTGTGAAACACACAGACACAAACATGTACACTCTCACAGCTTTACACGTTTCTACAACAAATTTTGAGCATAAAGATGCTCATCGCAATATTATTTAAAATTGTTAAAAATGAGAAACAACCTAAATAACAAAGCGGAAAGCATTAACTATGGTATATACACATAATAGTACTTGATATAAACATAAATATGATTTTTAGGAACCTTATAGAAAACCAGGTGAAAAACTTTAGCTGGCTATTTGCATCCTCTCACTCCAAAAAGAGAAAATTATTAAAACTTCGAGTTAACACTTTAGCCTCTTGGACTGGCAACAATTTAAAAAAATGACAATACTCTGTTTTCCCATCAGTGAGGAGAAACTGCCATAGAAATTTCTTGATATTGAGTACATAAATTGGTACTATCCTTTTAGATAGCAATTTGCTAATGTGTGCAATAAGTTAAAAAAATGCAAGTATGCTTTAAACTAGCAAACCCAGTTTATGTACTTATTCTCAGACAATGAGACAAGTATTTAAAGGTTATTCATTGCAGTATGGTATATACTAGCAGAAAATTTAAAAATGAGAGCAACCTTGAAATAAAGCAGAAAGGGCATCAGTAAGTAAATTGTTGTAAGTTCATATATCACGTGCAAATGACAAAATAGAAGCAGCCATTGAAATGATAACTAGTATTTCCTGACAGTCATAGATGACCAAGTAACAGAAGAAGGTACAAAATCTCATGTGTGGGAGAGTAACGTCACCAAGATGGCAACATAGGTCATTCCCCACTTTGCTCCCCCTCACGAGAAGAATGACTAACAACTATTCATGAACAAGACACCACTGAGAAAATCCTAGAACAGAGGACCGAGGCTGAAGCACCCCTGCACTGCAGAGACCAAGACAAACCATGGTAGAGGGATGACGGATGTTAGCTAAACTCATGTGATGACTATTTCACAATATTTGCAAGTCAAGTCATTATGCTGTATACTTTAAACATATGCAGTGCTATATGTCAATTATATCTCAATAAAACAAGGGAAAAAACCTTATGTGTAGCATTATCCCTTTTTTATTCTACTAAATATAGAAATTTGCATAGTAAAAAGCCTATTAAAATGTACACCAAATGGTTGGTCGTGGTTGTAACTGGGTGGTGAATATTAGATAATGCTAATTTTTTCCTGTTATCTTGGCTTCTTTGTATTTCCTTCAATTATATCTTTGTATATTTTGAAGATGAAAGAAGAGCCCATGGACCAAGAATGCACTTCCTGAAGCTGGAAGAGGAAAGAAACATATTCCCTGGGAAATTGATGTTGGATTTCCAGCCTCCAGAACTGTGAGGGAATAAATTTCCACCATTTTAAGCCATCAAGTTGGTGAGAATTTGTTGCAGTGGCCATAGGAAACTAATACAGCGCCTCATCTGGAAGTTTGCATTTGGAAATCATGTCCCCTGGGGTAGCTGCCTCAGAAAAAGCCGCCCCCTCTGACAGGAGTAAGTACAGGAAGGCACCCCCTCAAGACTGTCACTCATGTGGCTACTGGGTATTAAACTACATCTTTGTGTGAAGAAAATGGTGGCCATTCCTCCAAGGCTATGCAGCCCCAAGCTGGGGATCAGCCCTAGAGAGCCAAGTTCAGGCTCGCACCTTTGTGAGAGCACGGCCTGCACAAAGCCAGGCAGCAGCTCCAGAGGTGCAGCCTCACAGAAGCTCAGTGGGCAGGTCCTAGGCCAGTGTCAAGCTGGGAGAACACTCGATCCCAGGGCTGGACCCCAGGACTGCCCCTGATCTCCCATACAGCACCCAAACAGAGAGCATCCACCCCAGGGAGACAGGGAGAGCGGGACCACATGGAGACCAGCTCAATCCTCCCTTCCTCTGCCTGAAGGAGGCTCTGGGGGCCCCTCCTGTGTAACAATGCCACCCAGGTCATTGCCTCCTTTGGGTGGAAAATGGAACCCCCCCCCAGTTCTTCACCAAGATCCCAAGCTTCCTGTCCTGGAGAAAGAGATCAATGAGAGCTCCATCTTTGAGATTTTCGTGGGGAAGAGTGCAGACCGCCTTGCATGGAGGCTGCCATGGCCTTAATAACTAGATGGAAACGACTGATTTCTCTTTTATTTATTGAACAACAATCACTGGGTACTAGCTGTGGGCAGGCTAGCCTCTGCTTACGTTTCTCCCCCGTTTTCTGCATCCACCTCTCTCCCACCCCCTACCACCTCCTCACAAACCCTTGCTGTGTTATCACCCAGCTTTATGCTTTTCCACACCTCTTCCTGGCTGAGCTCCTCACATCCAGCCCCATGGCCCCTATGGGCTAGAATTGACTCATAGACCATTCACTCACTAGCCTTGGCCCCTTTCAGCCTGTCTCTTGTTCAAGTTTGTCCAGACTTTATATAAACAGAATTCTTTACAATTTAAAGCCAAATTCAAAAGGTCAGCCTGCCCCATTCACTCCAAAGTTCCCACTAGGCTCCCCCAGCCTAGGAAATTCCCCCTAGGTTTCTCCTAGGAATTGTCCTCCTAGGTTCTTCTTACCTAGGGTATGTCCCGGTTCCCTGTAAGACACCTAGTCTTAAGGTTTGAAATAGCTCATATAAACTCTGGCATGTTGACTTAAAATAAGGAGGTCTGGGTTTCAGGAGAACTCACTAGGGTCAACTGAAGAATGCAGTGATCTGGGGGGCTCAATGGGCCCCTCTTGGTACCGAATGCTGGTTCAGTGTAGATTCCGGGTGGTCTCCAGTGGGTTTCTCTGAAATCCTGCTGACTACACCAAGAAATGTCGATGCAAATGATCCATAACCAACCTGTAAATCAAAATTGGGGTGAGTTTCTTATGAGCCAGAGTGAGGATTATAACCCAGGAAGGCCTTAGAAGGCATTCTGGAGAAGCATGGGTTTCAGTACAGTCTTATATCTTTTTAGAACAAAGAAGATACATTAAACACACCCAGGATACATTTTCAAAGAGGTATTCTGTTGCAAACTAGCAGGTCAACATGACCATGATGCCAGGAAAGGGACTTATCTGGGAGTTACAAATAGGGCGTTACCAGTAGGGCATAGGAGGTAAGGTATGCATTCTTATCTTAAGAGAGTGCAATCCTTACTTTAATGGATAAGCAGATGTACAATGTATGTTTGATAGGCCATAAGTCAGGCTTTCTGGTTCAAGCTGAATCAGTACTGAACTCGAATAGTTACCCCATATACCTCAATATGTGAAAATCTCTTGTCACTGGTGATTGGCTTAGAGAAGGTAAGAATTTTCTATGGCCCAAGGAGGAACATATTTTGGGGAAGAAGACTGTCTTTTTATAACGGGCAGCCTTCAGACTCAGCCCTCGCACGGGGCTCAGCACCACAGAAGTATGACTGAGAAATTATACAGCATAGGGTTTAGGGGAAGGAGAGCTGGAGGAGGAAGGAGGAAGGACAGCCACAACTGACAGCAGAGGGCTGCCTGGAGCATGTGTTGCGTGTGGAAAGTGGTTCAGTGAGTCAGTGAGACTTCAGTCACACTCGCTAGAGATCCATTTATTATGGCACCTCAGTCCCACTCCCCGCCCCATGGGAGTCCTGCCTCTGCCCCAGAAAAGGTGGTCAAGCAGAGAGGAAGGTCAGCATGACACCTGCTGTGAGAAACACTTCATTGTTCTCTTTATCCAGGGCAGGTAGTGTGAGACCTTCATGAAGACTGCTGGAGGGGTCCCGTTCTTTTGTCCATAGGAGCAAATACTCTGAGCCATGTTTTCACAGATGAGGGGGCCCCAGGAGTCTCCTGGGGACAGGGAAAGGAATGACTGAGCTGGCCTCTTCATGGTCCTGCCCTTCCTACCACCCGGGGGCTCAGTGGTCTCTATTATGGGCTGCCTGGGAGAGCAGGGCCAGGGCAGGCACTGTCACCTCCCTCATCTCAGGGCTCCAGCCTGGCTCTGACTGTTCCTTGCAGCTCCACCCAGGCCAAGATTTTCTCTCCAATCCTGAGGGAAATTTTGGTGAGAACCCTGCTGTGGGGTGACTGATCCTTCCTCAGCCTGCAGCCCTAATCTGCTCAGGCGAAAAAACTAAAGACTGGATTCGTGGTCCCAGGCTGCTCAAGCTGTAGGCTGAGGCATGATGATATGGTCACTCCCATCCCCGAGAGCTCCCCATTTGCTCTCTCCTAGGGCCTATCCAAGTGGATGCTAGAAACATTACCTTGAAGCTGTTCTTCATCATTTTTAGGTCCCCCACACAAATCTGGGTGGCCCTGCTGTAATAGCCGTGGAAGAGGAATTCACACTCCTGATCATTCTGCATGGTCAGCTCCACCTCTGCAGAGTGGTTGCTAAAGTGCCCATTGAATCTTGCCTCCAAGCCGGCCACACTACACACTTGTCCAGGCCACACCTGGGCTGTGCCCCTGGGCAGGCTGAGTGGCCACACAGCTGCAGTCTGCTTGGCCTTTCTCTCCAGCTGATGGGACGAGGTAAGAAAGTCCAGCTCAGCCACTGGCCTCCTGGGCCTGGACACAGGGATGGGGCCATGCTGTCTTCCCTCTCACCTGAGCCAATTGGGACCAGCTAGGTGGCCAGGATTGGAAGGAGGGAAGGGGACAGGTAACACAGGAGGGGAAACAATCTGGACCTAGGACAGCAACAGCAGCAGGGAGGTTCCCTTACCTTTAGTAACATGATGTCATTGACGAAGTTCTTAGGATTATAGTCTGGGTGGCAGATGGCTTCTCTCACAGGGATGACCTGCTGGGTCCTCTCCTGCTCCTGAATGTTATGGGTCCCAAGGGTGACCATGATTGGGCTTCACAGAAAATAGAATGGGGATGTGGGGTGCATGGAATCACAAGAGATCCAGCCCTGGAGCCAAAATGGGCGGCTGACAGTGGAGCAGGGTCGGGGGAACCTAGGAGAAATCAAAACAACAGGAGGACTGGGCCCTGAGTGAGTCATTCCCCTGTGCTTCTCAATGACATTGAAGGTAGGTCACCTAGAAGCTTTCTCTAGCCCTCAGGCAATATTGTGAAAGTTCTCTGAGTTTGCATTTTGACCCTGATGCATGCTTTCATCCTCCACAGCTGCTTTATTTGGCCAGTGTGGTCTCTCTTCTCAACTGGGCCACTTGCTCTCACCTCTGGCCATCTGACCCAAAGCTTCCCTGTCCTATTTCTCACTTTCCATGGACCAGTCATGCTCTCAGATGGCTCCTCTCATGAGCTCATTTGACCTTGAATTACCAGGAGCTGGGGGCACTCCCCTGGGCTGCAGGCACTGGGCAGAGGACAGGGGTCCCTCTAGGGGTCTCAGGAGGTGTCAGTTGTTGGTGGCCCCTCACCTTCCCCAGCAGTGAGCAGCAGTGAGAACAAAATCCTTTCTCAAGAGGACACTGCTGCACCTGTTCTTTTGGTCCTTAAGCAGAAACTGAACCAAGGCCTTGTAGGGGTGGGAGTGGGGCTTGGCCTCATGTCCTCCGATGATGTCCTCTGAAAGAAAACACTGGAAGATGGGCTATCTGGGAGCCATTGTGATCAGAAGGGAAGGCTCTGGAAGGTGGTGATTAAGGGTGGGGTCTACAGTGCCCTGCTGACACTGGGGAGAGTCCTCCCAGGTTCTCCTTGCAGCAGAATAACCTTTTCTGAATGTCAAGCCTCAGAACCCTCTGTGAGAAAAGGGAGGACAGTGCTTGTTGTCCCTGTCCTACTTCAGACCATGCATGGAGGAGATAAGAGCTGTCTTCATGATGGTGGAGCCCAGGGGATGGTGGACAGGGCTCCCCTGACGCCTTCTGTCTCAGTGAGTCTCCCAACCCCTCTGTGCCTCTGCTAATGTCCCAATTATGTCCCGTCCTTTATCAAATAATCAGCTTATGGAGATGGATTTTCTAAAATCCTCTTGTCCTAGGGTCTAACGCGGCCCAGGATCCCAGACAATCTTTGGCTGTGTGAATGAATGGCCTTCACTTAGGCTTAGAGTGAGGTTTGGTGCGGATAATGTTGGTGGGATTGAAGACTGTCATCATGTGGGGAGGGCACTCTGTGGAGCAACTGAAGGCCTGGTAAGGCGGGGGGAGGTGGGGCTGAAAATGGGGGTATCCGGGCCTCTGGCAGAGCCATGGCAACAGGGAAGCCCTGTTTGCAGTCATCCAGATCTTCTGAGCTCAACTGCACCCTGTGCTCCTCTCCTGTGCAGGGGTTAGGGGGTGAGGGCACCAAGAAATGAAACTGGTTGTTAAGCTGAGTCCAGCGACAGGTCCACTACTGCCGTTGGTTTGTTTGAGCTGTCCTTTCTTGGGTTAGAGTGAGGGATTTTAATTACTTGCCTTTTGTAGCTTCTCGTCCTCTGCCAATGCTTTTTTGTGAGCACCCACTTTCCAGGTGATAAGAGAAAGGCTCACACACTAAATCTTTTAGTGAACACCCTTCCTTCCTGCCATCCTTGCTGAGTGTCTGTGCAGCACTGGACATGTTAGTCTAGGTTTGGGATGGGATCTGGGGTCTAGAAAGTTCTTGGGTTCAAATTCTGGAAAATCCCTAGCTGTGCTTGTCAGAAGGGTCAGGAATACAGAGGGTTTTGTGAGTTGGGATGATGACTCTGAAGTGGCAATGGTCACTCACCTGTGCCAGCCTCATGAGCCAGAAGAAAGGCCAATAAGAGCAGGAGTGGCTGCATCTTTCCTGAAGGTCTGCCGGGTCAGAACTGCTGGTGTTTCTTCTTTCCAGATATATTGTCCCTAAGGACAAGGCACGGGTATGACTCAGGATCTCACAGACCTCCTAGACCTGTGCTTCTTGTTGTCTTGTGTCATCTTCAGGCTGGTTTTTGGAAGTTCTCTGGCTTGGGGTAGGTGTCAGTCGCACTGTCACCAACCACACTTGCACTCCCAGTGCTGAGTCACAAAGTGAAAGCAAGAAGAGAGAAGGAGGTGAAGTCTGTTCTGCAGCCAGTAGCGGAGCTGGACCCCAGAAGGCCCTCAGCTCTTGGCTCTTTTTCCATCCTGATGAAGTCATGAATAATTATTTAGCAAGTTAGGTCCAGGGATGTGAGCAAGATGGCTCCTGCCCTTAAGAAGATGGAGGCTGGCTGGAGTGGACTGAGAATCTGTGGTTAGAGTAGAGGCTGGTAAGCGCTGTGGTGGGGTCTGCTTGGTGGTGAGAGATAGAGGCTGGACCTGCCTTAGGAGCCTGTAGAGTTGGACACACCCAAACACCCCAAATGGCAACCACACTTCCTCTCTGACCACAAGTCAAGCCTTGTATTTTGGAATATTTAAAACCCCTATTTATTTCTTTTTTAAACATTTTTATTGTGGTCTAAATAGTTTATAACACTGTGAAATTTCAGTTGTATGTTAAGATTTGTCAAACACCATATAAATGTGCCCCTGCTCCCCTTGTGCCCGCCCTTCCCCTCTTTCCTCCCAGTAACCACTAAATTGTTCTCTTTGTCCGTAAGTTTGTTTATATTCCACATAGGAGTGAAATTATTTGGTGTTTTTGTCTCTGGCGTATTTCACTTAACATGTTGCCCTTAAGGTCCATCCTTGTGGTTGTGAATGGGAAGTTTATGTCTTTTTTATGGCTGAGTATTATTCCATTGTATATATACAACACATCTTCTTTATCCTCTCATCAGTCGTTGGGCACTTGGGCTGCTTCCATGTCTTGGCTGTTGTGAATAATGCTGCAATGAACATAGGGCTGCATAAGTCTCTTTGTGTTGTTAATTTCAAGTTCTTTTGAAATCACCCAGGAGTGAGATAGCTGGGTCATATGGTAATTCTATTTTTAATTTTTTGAGAAATCTCCATACTGTTTTCCAAAGTGACTGTATCAGTTTGCATTCCCACCAGCAGGGGATGATGCTTCCCGTTCCCATACAACCTCTCCAACATTTATTAGCTGTTTTGAATTCTTTGTTGTTTAGGTTATGGATTTCTGTGCTTTCAGGTTTGTTTCTGGGTACTTGTCATTTTCCTTCTGGTCTGGAGCTTTAATATGCCTACTCATACTGCTTGATGGAGTAGATTTTGCTTCCTCTGGTCGCAGCTGCTGAGTTCTGCCACAGGATGGGGATCAGGCGCTGTGTATTCTGGGCCTGGCGTGAGCAGGGTCTCCTCAGCTCCAGTCACTGACTGCTTTTCTCTCTGAGTGACTAATGGATGGCAGATCTGGAGCACCTGGAAGGGGAAGGGGTACTCTCCTTCCCCAGTGCTTCTCCCAGCCCCTGCTTGTCTCTCTGTAGAGAGCTCTGGGTGATTGCAGGACTGTGCACTTTCCCTTTCCCAGCCGCCGATGTCAAGCTCTTTGTACTGTGCTCTGGACGATTCTGGGGCTGGAGTACTGGGCAGGGGAATCTCTCTCACCTGCACACTTTACCCTCCCCAGCCACCACACTCTCCCTGCTGTGCTCCTCATGACTCTGGGGCTGCGCATTGCGCACCCCCCCATCACCGCCAACCTCTCTGTGCCTTGCTCCAGGCGATCCTGGGGCTGGAGTGTGGACAGGGATGGGACACCGCTCCTCACCTACGCCCTTTCCCTGCTGCTACTACCATGTTCACTACATTGTGCTCCAGATGATTCTGGGGCTGGAGTACCGGGCGGGGATGGGGCGCCCTTTTCACCTGCGTACTCTCCGCCTCCACAGCCCATCTCTCTCCATGGAGCTCCTGTGGATGAGCTTCCACATCCCCAGAGGAATCAGCCTTCAGGCGTATGGCTGCATGGGTCTCCCAGACGTGTTTTGTGATGTGTATATGTCCTCTGTTGGTGTATGAATGTCCTTTACATTGTATCTTAGAGGGGAGAGTCCAAGGGAAGAGCTTACTCTGCCATGATGCTGAAGTCACTCTAGAAGCCCCTCTTTAAATGAAAATATTCTGTGACCAAGAGGGCTTCTCTTATCCCACAATTTTGAACAAAATCCAGACCTTGATATTCATTTGACAAAAACAAGCCATCATTGAGTCCATTGGAATTGAATGGCCTGATTGGTTTATTCTTGAGTCATGTAGCACTCCTGGCCCTGAGGTGGGACTGTTCCACCCAAATCATAGTGTCTGTTTTCTGGGGAAGGGGTCTCCCTTGAGAAATGCTGGTCACTGTTGTCAGATGACCGGGAAATGGATGCCGATCATTCTAATAGTATACAGTAAGTATTCTCTGTCCAGGGTCCGGTGAACCATGGCTCTCATGTCCCTGGGCCCCAAAATTATAAGTGTTTGCCAATAGATTATCCCAATACTATCTCCAATATGATGACAGATGAAAGAATAATGGAAAAGAACTGATTATGAATTCTAAACAGGTCCATCTCAATTCTGTTAAAGCAACAGTGTCTTATGAAAACAGAAAAATAGGGAAGGCAACCTGCTTAAGCATTAATGATGATGATCTCTGGGTGGTGGTATTCTCGGTAATTTTAATGTTCTTATTGATATATTCTGCAATTAACTGTCTTTCCATGATGACTATGTATTACCTTTATACTCAACATACCTTTTCCCATTGTCAAAGGACACTCATCAATGGCAAACATTCAGCAGACCATTTCTTTCTAGTCTAGCCTTCTCTAAGAGGAATGTTTTAAAAATGAGCTTACTTTATTGAATCCATTCTTATATAGAAGATTTAGAGATTCTTGAAAAACAGAAGAAAAATTTACTCAATTAGCTATAGGTTCTAGGACATTTTGGTGAATAAGGGAAGAATTAAGTATTTCTACTCTAGAGATGGAAGTTTATTAAGTCCCTGGCAGCCTCCCCTCTATCACCCTCTACCCACTGCATTTCTGGCCTCTGCCCCAGAGAAGATGGACGGATCAGACCTGGGGGCGATTTTATCCAGGGCAGAGAGCTCGAGGTCCTGATGTAGACTTGTAGATATTTCCCATTCTTTTTTCCAAAGGAGACAATGCCCTGGGCCATGTTGTCACACACGAGGTGGCCCCCAGGGTCACCCTGTGGCCATAGGAGGAGAGACTGAGCTGGGCCTTCTCCTCGTCCTCCTCTCCCTGCTGCCTTGCGGTTGAGTGGTCTCTGTTTTGGGGCTGTGAGTGAGATCTGGGCCAGGACAGCTTTTGTGGCCCTCCTCGGTCCTTGGGCTCCAGCTGAGCCCTGACAATTCCCCTCCTCTCCTCCCCAAGGAAGACTCTGCTGATAAGTGGCTGTGGGACAGTCTGCTATCCCCCCAGAGTAACATAACCAGAGACTGAGTTGGTGACAAAGCTGAGTATATAGGGATATAGCTAGTTCCCACTGCCCCAGGTCTTCTCATAGCTTGGCTGTACCCAAGGCTGGGCATGGACGATAGTGGGGATCTCATCTTAAAAAGAGTCTTCCTCTTTGTTGGGTCCCCCACATATATCTGGGTAGCAGTGTTGTGATGGTCTTGGTAGCGAGAGATGCATTGCTTGTCTCTTTGGACTGCAAGCTATACCTCATGCAGTTTTCCAGCTGAGAGAATACTCTCACCAAGGTGCTCCCTGTCAGCCACACTGCACACCGTCCCTGGCTTTGCCAGCTCTCTCCTCCTAGGCAGCCTGAGGGGGCTCACAGAGGCAGTCAGGTTGGCCTTCCTCTTCAAGCTGAAGGCAGAGGAAAGGAATTCATAAGGACTCCAGGAGTTGCCTTCTCCACAGCCCTGAGACAAGTGAAGGGGTCATACTTGGAAAGAGGGACAGGCATGAGGTTGTGGGGGATGCAAAATCCTCAGGATTAAAGTGTGCAAGAACCAGTGGAGTCACATGCCCTACCCTTAGAAACGCAGTGTCATTACACAAATTCTTAGGATTGTCGTCTGGGTGGGGGATGGCTCTTCTCACAGGGATGACCTGCTGGGTCCCTTCCTGCTCCTGCATGTTGTGGAACCTCAGGGTGAAGTAGACTGAGCACAGAGAGCAGAGAGGGAGGTAGATGCACAGGAGATGCACCCCAGGAGCCGTGAAGGAAGGAGGACAGCTTGGGACAGGGCAGGACTGGAGTGGAGATGAATTACAGGGGATGGGGCCCTGGGGCTGAGCATCTCCTGTCCTCTGCTTCTTGGCAACCTGGGCCGAGTGGCGGTTCCTGGAGCAGACTCCAAGTGCTCGTCAGATGCAGAGCTTACCTGTCTCTAAGCAAAATCATGAATTTGTCCCCCGTGTGCTCTGGGCATGGAGCCGACCATAGTCTCCTTCCAATGCCACCTTCGATCAGCCTCTCTCTTCAACAGGCCCCTTGCACTGACCTGTCCTCTGAAGGGCTCTTCTGTGTTACTGGGTGGTCCAGCTCTGCAGCCCCTGAGAAGGCAGTTCTCTGTGAGGTGTCGCCAGATGGGTGGGGCCACACGCTGCTTCTCACCTTCCGCAGTAGGGAGCTGCTGTCAGCACAAAGTCCTCACGCACAAGGAAACTCTCACAGCTTTTTCTTTTCTTTGGAGTCTGGATCAGAAGAAATGCCAGATAAGGACAAGAATAAGGATTGCCCTCATGGCCCCGGATGAT